CGCTACATACACACCAACGCGTAACACACGCACGGATACGACAACACTGAGAGACGACTGGACATCGGTGACATCATCTCGCTCTGTTACGCGCCCAGTATAAAATACCTCTGGCTCGCACCTATTGTCACGCGTATCCAAATTCCCATCTTACGCGATTGTTATAGATGACCGTATTTGGCGAACCGTTGATGTTCCTTGATCCGTGTACTGATCTTCCTCCCGGTTTCTCCAATGTACACTTTTCCGCATGAACAGGTGATTTCATATACCCCAGGCATGCTTAGGGAAGGTCGTGGGTCCTTAGCACTTCGCAACATCTGCCCGATCTTTTTTGGAGGTTGAAAGATCGTTCGGATGTTATGTTTGCCTAGGATCTTGCCTATGCGGTCCGTGGTACCTCTTAGGTAGGGAAGGATGGCCACTTTGAATCTCTCCTGGTTTTCCTCACGTCTAGACTCCTCTTGAGGAGCTGATAGTTTGTTCTGTAGTTGTTCTCGCTGTCAATGTTGGAGAGCTGGGAGATGGGGAGGGCTCTGTACATCAAGGAACTGATTACAGAGTTTTTTTGGGACGGATGATGATGGGAAGTGGCATGAAGATACCTGTCTATATGTGTTGGCTTGCGGTAAACCTAGTGACCTAAAGTCCCATCTGGGTTACGTTGGACGAGGACATCCCGGAAAGGGAGACATCCATTTTGCTCAACTTCCATGGTTAACTTGATGCTTGTGTGTTGGGCATTCAAGTACTCCAGGAAGTGTGTTAGTTCAGCTCTTCTATGTGGCCAAATGACGAAAGTGTCATCCACGTATCTGAACCACACAGAGGGTTTTTGCGAAGCTGACCTCAATACTTCACTTTCGAAGTGTCTCATGAATATATTTGTAATAATAGGTGAAATGGAAGAACCCATAACGGCACCTGATTTTTGCATATAGAACTCTCCGTCAAATTGGAAGTATGTAGCAGTCAAGCAGTGCTCAATCAGAGGTAGAAGTTTGGAAGGGATATCCTTGGATTTTTTAATTATCTCCAAAGTTTCGGGGATTTGGACATTAGTGAAGAGCTATTCTACATCAAAACTCACAAGGATATCCTCCGAGCAGGTTCTGAGAGTTTTCATTTTGTTTACAAAATCCAGAGAGTTTTCAATGTAGAAACCATTTCGACCGGTCAACCTTTGGAGTGATTTCGTGAGAAACTTTGCCACTTGGTACGTTTGCCAATGTTGCTGACGATGGGATGGAGAGGAACAGACTCTTTCTAGATTTTTGGGATTCCATAGAGTCTGGGGGGGGAAGAATTCTTTGGAAATCAGGAACTGAGTCAAGTCAGGTGAAAGGCCAGCTTTCCTCAGGAGTTCGATGATTTTGCGCTCAATGGTGCGAGTAGGATCTTTTCTGAGTCTGGTGTAAACTCTAGAATCACTCAGCATCGTACTGAGCTTTCCGAAATAATCATTCCTATCCATACCCACCGTGGCATTGCCTTTGTCCGCCGAAAGAATAATAATATCATTATTCTCCTTTAGACTACGCAGTGCAAGGGGTTCCTCCTTGGTGATATTATCATTATGGGGCACTCCCCATAGTGGCCTTGTGGAGGATATTGGACGTTAAGAATATTGGAGAGTTGAGCTAGGTTTTCCTTGGCCGCTGCAGTCCTCTCCCGCGCAAGTTTACGTGAAGCCTGGCGAAGGATGGTGTTTGCCTGCTTCAAGAGAAAAGGACTCCTCAAGCGGAGGAATTTTGGTACAACCTGATGGTCGCGGCACCTTTTTAAGAAGGTTAAGGAGTACAGGTGGACTTGCAACGACTTCCTAAATTTAGTGAATAAGTTCACCGACCCAACAATAGCCTCCCCGTGGCGGCATTTAATTTTAGTTTTGAGGCTTTCACGGTCATGATTATTAGTATTATCGTTGGCTTCCGGATAGATGGTGCGTTTGGTTTCAGCATTGCGCCGACATTTCGCAAACATTGCAGTCTGCGTCTTCAGGGCTGTGAGCTCCGATTCAGAGCTCCGACGTGTGGAGGTCGTCCTTATATGCTGTGACGGAATTTTTAAGAATCCCGCCACCTGTACGACGAAATCGAGAGTTTGTAAGGGTGAGTAGAGAAATATTGAGAGAGTCGCGAATATTGCACCCCTAACCGAGGGAGATGCATTACCCTTCCTCTCCCCCTCAGCAAGACCTTCCAGATCATCAGGATCTCAAACGACATCAGGACATCCAGACGTTCTGAGATGGCCAGCGGATTCTGACGGTTAAATTTGGTTGAAACATGAATAAATAATAAAATAAACCCCCGCGAGAACGCGTTAAAAACAGATACGAATGATTTAAAAACAAGTGGGAAATTTTTTGCAAATAAATCAGCAATATGCTTCCGAATGATCCTGTTGCATTTTTTTCTTACATATATGATTTATATTTTACTTTATTTCATTGAATTTAATGAGTTTCTTTTCAATCAATTGTGTCAAATTTTCTCTTCAGGTGAATTTTATAATTATTATTATCCTTATTATTATTTTCTCCTATAGTACTTTTTATTTATTCATTTATTTTTTCTCATTATTCTTTCATCACTCTCATTGTTCCTTTGTAGCATTCATTTTATATGCTACATTTCATGTTTTCATTTCGGTTTTATATTTTCATTGAATCGTATTCTAGCTATTACATTTGGCTTCTTTCTAATTCTTGTATAAATCAAATGAAAGAATGATACTATTCACATCATAACAAAATTTCAACAGAATATTATTGAAAAAAATGTATTTATTCATAATTGATTAATTTTGAAACATCACATTTGAAGGAACCATGAAAAAGCTAATTTTCGGGGAAACTGATGAAAAATTTAAAATTTCCGAAGATTATCATAAACAAATTAAATCAACGGATGCAGTTATCGTAACCATCATTCAACTTCCACTTAAGGGCATCAATACAAGCATTTCAAGCCATGATACAATTCATTCGAAGCGAGGAATCCAAAGATATCTGCGGAATTATGATTTTCAGAAAAAAAAATTTTTTGTAAATTTTCACAAAAATCACTGTAACGATTGCTGCTATCGTCTTCATCTTCGAATTTGGTCGAAAGCCCATCTCAACAAATTTTTCAAACCGTTATTTAATGAATTTGAAACATTTTTTTTAGTTACCGTAAAAAAACCGATTTTTGAAAAAAAAATCGAAAATTTTAAAAAGGCGTTAATCTATTGAATTTCAATCAATGGCCGTAGATGGGGCTCAGTCAGACCTACATTTGAGACAAAAAGAAGATTGAATTCCATTGTTGAACTGGCGAATAATTGAAGAAAAAGTTTGTTCCATATGTATATACATATGTACACACGTACGGACGCGGTCTAAAAATTGCATTTTCGGACTTTTTGGATCATAATGGGTTAATATAACTCAAAAAATCGAAAACTTACATTTGGTCTATTACAATGCTTCCATTCGGACGCAAAAATAAATAAAATCCATTCGGCTCAGCTCTTTATAATTGTTTCTAGCTTTCATTATGGTTTGGGGAAGAATTACGGATT